AGCCCCCCCCCCCCAAATATCAACTTTTGCAGTCGCATCTCAGTCTGCACTTTTGTACTTTTACGTAGGCGGAGGAGTTAAATCAATACAGTACGAGCGTCTCTTTTTTCCACAAGTATCTCTACTACTTGATTTCAGAGTGTGAGTACTATTGTATACGTGCACAGTTGATTTCAGAAAACCCGAGAAGAAATTTTGATTGGGTTTAGAGCCAAATGCTGTGCAAATATGATAAGCATCCAGCGACGCGACGCAAAAAAGTGTATCGGAGTCCCCAGAGCCCAATGGAGTTGCAAACGTTTTCCCGACGTGCATGCGAAGCAGCCAAAAGAGTAAAAAAAAAGAGCAAAGATTGTGACTCAGTTGATCATTTATTGATGCATTGGGAGAGAAGACTAAAACTCGGTGATCCTGCGGAAGGAGCCGATGCCGGGCGAGGAGGCGGCCCAGTCGGCGTGCTGCCGATACTCGCCCTGCTCCAGGAGGTACTGATGCCCCCTGTAGTTAGGCAGGTCGTAGAAGACCCAGGCGCCGTCGCTCACCACGCAGGAGTAGGCCTCGCGCACCTTGTAGGCGTCGTACAGCGAGGGGCAGTCGTCGGTGCATTCCACCATCTGCCCGCCGAAGTTGGGCCTTTCGTACAGCCTCAGCTTCCACGCGTTGCCGTAAACCTGCCAGCACAGGAAAACCAAGGCGGTCACGCCGTCTCGAATCGCATCTCACGCCGTGCTTTTTTACGTTCGAGTCATCCAGAGGAAGATTAAAAACAAAAACAAACAAAAAATGCGGATGTGGAACTGGGAGTCGCGGCTTGGAATTGAAGCGGATTTACGTGGGACAGGAGATGTGAGCCAATCTCTCTTTTCGTCTATGGACGCGACAGCTTCGTGTTGGCTTTCAAAACTTAGCTTGTAGCAGACGTGTGCGCATTTTCAGCATGACGTCTCTGATCCGCTGGTGAAAGGACACTTTGATCCTCTCCTCTTTCATCTAGAAGTGCTTCAAACAACAAAGTGTATGCAGGAAAAGTGATTAAGATTGCGCGACTGTCTGCGTCTTTATGCGTTGTGTTGTGTCATTTTGTTATTTTGACTTCAAGATGGCGCCGCGAGAGTGGCTGCCTTTACAGCAGCTCCTAAGTGTATGCAGGAAAAGTGATTAAGATTGCGCGACTGTCTGTGTCTTACGCGTTATGTTGTGTTATTTTGTTATTTTGACTTCAAGATGGCGCCGCGAGAGTGGCTGCCTTTACAGCAGCTCCTCTATTTTGATCTTCTACTTCTTCCTTTCATAACTTTGCTGCTGTGAATTGGGAATTTCTCCATTGCGAGACGAATAACGTTTTCTTATCTTAAAAAAAAGGAACGAGATCATTGTTGTGACCGCGGGCTTTCTCTCGGTCCTCGGTAAGGAGATGTTGGGGGCAACTCTGCAGGGCTTGTACAAAAGTTGCACAGTGGACAAAGACTTTCCCTTGAAGGGAGAGACCAAATTTGGAGAAGGTAGTCGCCCAGATGAATTAGTCGCCGGTTGAGCGGCACTCCTCAAGCTCTGCCGAGCGTTGACCGGATTACCTGCTGGCTGTAAATAACGTTGCCTTTGCTCAATGAACTTGGAATCGCCTCGAAACCCTGAAGCATGTCAAGATGTTTCAAATTGGGGCAAATGTCGGAGCGGGAGAGTTCAAATGAATCGACTCTTACGTTCTTGATGGCGCGGCAGGATTGGACGCTGTCACTGAAGGCCATCCACTGCTGGTTGTCGGCGTACTCGCCCGGGCAGAGGATGTACTGGAAGCCTTTGTAGTTGGGCCTCTCGTAGATCACCCACACGCCGCTCTCCACCCGGATGGAGCTGCAGCGGGTGAAGTAGGAGTGCAGGTCCGCGCAGTCGCTGCTGCAGTTGTAGCAGCGGCCCTGGAATTTCTTCTCCTCGTAGAAGGTGATCTTTGGGCAAAGAGAGACAAGCGACACTGAGTCTCAGCGAGTCGGCCCTCGGAGCGTTTACTTGAAATGCCGCGAGTGTGTCGAACGGTCTCACTGGTCACGAAACGAGGACATCGCGGACACATCCGAACACCGGCAGAATATCAAGTAAATGCTGAAACGGCTTTCCCCGCGACTGTTCCGATGCGTTTCGTCTCACCTTCCCCATGGCGATGCTCGGCGATGCTCAGTCCTTGCCGAAGCGCCGCACCGTCAAAGTATTTATCGATTAGCAAAATGTGCAGAGTGAGGCGAGCCTTTGATACCCAGATGAGGCGGATTTGCATATCAGCAGAATGGGGCCCGGTGCCGTTTGATGGCCTTTTGTTCCTCTGCGATGATCAGCTGCTATCAAAAGTGTGCTGGAACAAGAGGGGCAGCGGTGCCCCTTGATGGGGGACGGACGGGGTGGGTGGCAAAAAAACAAAAAAAAAAACAAAACAAAACCAAAAAAAAAAATCTTTTGTTGTCTGTGTGCTCACACATGAACTGGCTGTCGACGGGGCGGAACAAAAACAAACGAGAAGTTGCAAACTTGTGAATGCTGAGAGTTGCTTTGGGCCGGCCAAAAACGCTTTCGTCAGAGGTCCAAACGCAAAATAGGGTGCTGAAACGATCGCAAATTAATTTCAACCTTGGCAAAACAATTTGGCTGTCCGGTTTCATTGGCATTGTTGTATCCTTTGACAGAATATTCCAGAACCACTAAAACTTCAAATGCAAGAATAAAAATAGCGCTCAGCCCGCGTCGTGGTTTCGTGTTTGGGCTTCGATTTTGAAACTTCAAACGACAGGACCGGTCGCCGGTCCATTTCAGGGCGTCCATACGCAAAATGGAGCGGGTCACCGGCCACGTGGACGAACAATGGACTGGTCGCCATCCGACATTAGGGGACTTCGAGACAAACAGTGGATCGGTCGCCAGATCGTGTCAGGTTTTGACAAACAAGCCTCGATCGACACTCACGGTCACGCCGATGGACACTTTTCAGGGCATTGAGTCGAGGTCGGCCTTGTCGGATGAACTGATGACGCCTTCTGGAATGAGAGGCGAACCACCTTCTCAGACAAACAGAGCAGTCGCGTTCCTGTCCTCGAGGAAGCTAACATGCTAACGTTTTGGGGACTGCGAGAGGAGAAAACAACCCAAGCGCGGGAGAACACGCGATCTCCTCCAATGAAAGATCCCAATTCGGACGCTACGCTAACGAGTGTGCTACCTGACCAAGAAAGGTGTCTTGACTCAAATGAGAAGCCGATTTCAGAGATTCAAATTTCAACTTGCTTTATTCAACCAATGAGAGAGGAAGCTAACAGGTGTCTGTGATGCGGCGGATGGAGCTCAGTCGGATGATGTTACTGGCTCCCAGCTCGCGGAGGTTGCGGTGCTCGCCGGGCTTCAGGTACAGCATCCTGCCCCGGAAGTTGGGCTGCTCAAACATCAGCCAGTGGCCCTCCATCACGTTGCAGGACTGACAGTCGGACATGCGCAGACGGTCCACGTTGTCGCAGTCGTCGGTCAGCTCGTGCATCTGGCCTCCAAAGTTCTCCTTCTCGTAGATCCTCACTCGGAACGGTCCTCTGTGCTGTGGGGCAAGCGGCAGCGATCAGGTCGGGATCGCGACGGCAAAGGGGCTATCGTGCATCGAAAAATAATCAGCGGCGGCGGGAATGCCGTTCGGCCGTCGGGCGCTGGAAAGTTTTCGTCGGCGGCGGTGTGCGACGCGCTGAAGCTTAATCGATGACGGGGGGGTGGGGCATGAAAATACACCGGCCGTTCGGGAAAGGTTCCCCGTGGCCACCACACCCCTGATGGGAAGTAACAAAGTACAGTCAAACCTCGGTTTTTGAACGTCTCGGTTCTCGACCAAATCGGTTTTCGACCAAAAATGTCGAGTATTTATGCCTCGGATTACGACCGAAAATCGTTTCTCGACCAGACTGAGCACACTTGAATGCGCAACTTGACTCCTCTCGCCTTCCTTACACGAGGAAGTGACGCTTCCATTGTGAGCAAACCTGTTCATCGAACAAATCGGTTTTCGAACAGCCTTCTGGAACGGATTATGGTCGAAAACCGAGGTATGACTGTCCAAATACTGTTTCTGTACTTCCGTCAATTTTTCAGGTATCCGCACTTGACTTTTTGATGCCTTTTCCCGTTCCTCCCTACATTTGAAAAGAAATATGTTTCTACTTTCTGCTCTTGACTTTGTCCAAGTAGTCTGGATATTTTTTTGAAATGATTAAGAAGAGCAAAATATTCCCGATTCATGGCCTCATTGAGGAGAATCATTTCAAGGTGTCGGCGACAAGAATCATTTGCAGCCTAAAAACAAGCAGTTTCAAAAATTCTTTGTCAAATCTCAAATCACATCAAGGTTTTCTCAGCATCGGCCAATGTCGCTTTTTTGTTGTTATTGTGGTTGTTGTAGCGAGTCCGTTCGCAACGTTGGAGCCGCCGTGGGAGCGAGCAAGTCATTTTGACAGACGTCCAACCAATGCCAACGACCTCCTGCCTTGGAATTTTCTCATTCACTCATTTCATTTCATCCTCGGGGCATTTGATCGCTTGCAACTGGACTGGCCAGGATATATCTCGATATCTAGCGTGATCTAACCAGGCGTCATCAGTTCAGGCTAGTCAGGACAGCTCAGGCTATGGAAAGCCCACTCCACACTAACACCTGACAAGCACGTAGTATTACGAGTATTTTACTTTTCTTTCTTCCTCATCTCAACTTCTGCATTCAGAAAATGTTTTGTTTTTCCTTTTGCGCTGCAATGTATTCTAAAGGCTCTACTTTCGCAGTACTTCGACCGTATTCGGTCCTCCTGCAAACTCACCGATCCAACGAAGTAAAGAAGCAACCACGCAATTGCCCCATCAACTATCCAATCGGTTCCTCAGCCAACCCCTCGGCTGAACAACTGCCTCGACGGGCAAACACGCATTTCGCTTGCGGTCGCGCGAGCACCTACCAACGGGATCATACGAGAGGATCTGATGCAGTCGCTCAGATTAATTCCCATCAGACGCTGGCTGTCGGGATACTCGCCCCTCCTGACCAGCACCTGGTGGCCCTTGAAGTTGGGCTTCTCATAGACCATGAAGAGGCCGCTCTCCACCCGGCAGGAGTTGCACCTGCTCAGGTAGGTGGTCAACTCGGGGCAGTCGCTGCTGGTCTCATAGGAGCGACCCTGGAAGTTGCGGTCTTCGTAGAAGATGATCTGTCAAAAACAGCGGCGGAAAGGCGTCGAGACGGGCCCGTCGTCAAATCGTCCCCGTCGGCCCCTTTGAATCCACATGTGCGTCGCCGTTCCTTACTTACCCTTCCCATGGTCATGGTATTGGTGAGATGACTGCAGATGTACAGCTTGGGCATCAAGCCTGGTTCCCTTTTTATACATGTCGCGGGCCCTGGTGCTAAAGCCGTGGAGTCATCACTCTATATTGTGTGCCGGCTAGCATCACTATAGGATTGAGAGACTTCCCCGTACTGTATGTCAGAACGTGGCTTTTGTTAACACTCGGATGTTTAATGCTGCTGCAAAAAAAAAAAAAAAAAATCAACCCCTGGGGTTCAATGGGGGGGCCCGC